TGAGTGGTATCTCATTGTGGTTTTTATTTACATTTCCTTGATAACCAATGACGTTTTATTTGCTTTTCGGTCATCTGAATATCTTTAGAGACATGTCTATTCAAGTCAATTTTTTAAATTGGGTTGTTTGTCTTTTTGTTGAATTTAAGTGTTCTTTATTTAGTCTCCATACTAGGCCCTTGTCAGATATATGATTTGCAAATATGTTCTCCCATTCTGTGAATTGTCTTTTCACTCTCTTAATAGTGTCCTTTGATATACAAAAATTAGCTTTGATAAAATTTAATTTATGAATTTTTTTGTTAGTGCTTGTGCTTATGGTGTCAAATCTAAAAAACTATTACCAAATCAATGACAATAAAGGTTTACTTATGTGTTTTCTACTAAAAGGACTATAGTTTTGACTCATATTTTTCAAAATTATATTTTAATGATTATGTTATTACAGTTGTCCTGAATTTTCCCCCTTTGTCCCCCTTCACCCAGCACCCCCCCAACTGCCTCAGGAAATCCCCCCACCATTGTTCATGTCCATGGGTCATATGTATAAGTTCTTTGGCTACTCCATTTTCTCTACTGTACTTTACATCCCCATGACTATTCTGTAACCATCTATTTGTACTTCTTAATCACCTCACCTCTTCACCCATTCCCCAAAACCCTCTTCCCATCTGGCAGTCATCAGAACACTTTCTGTATCCATGATTCTGTCTCTGTTCTTTCTCTTTGCTTAATTTGTTTTTTAGATGGTTGATAGATACATATTTTTTGCCATTGTATTGTTCATAGGTTTGATCTTCTTATTTTTCTAAAATAAGTTACCTGTTAACATTTCATATATAATGGTTTGGTGATGATGAACTCCTTTAGTTTTTTCCTTTTCTTGTCTGGGAAGCTTTTTATCTGCCCTTAAATTCTAAATTATAGCTTTGCTGGGTAGAGCAATCTTGGCCGTAGGTCCCTGCTTTTCATGACTTCGAATATTTCTTGCCAGTCCCTTCTAGCCTGCAAAATTTCTTTTGAGAAATCAGTTGACAGTCTTATGGGAACTCCCCTGTAGATAATGAATTGCTTTTTTCTTGCTGCTTTTAGGATTCTCTCTTCATCTTGAACCTTTGACATTTTAATTATGATGTGTCTTGGAATGGGCCTCTTTACATCCATCTTGTTTGGGACTCTGTGCTTCTTGGACATGCATATCTATTTCCTTCATCAAATTAGGGAAGTTTTCTTTCACTATTTTTCCAAGTAGATTTCCAATTTCTTGCTCTTTCTCTTCTCTTTCAGGCACCCTTATGATTCAAATGTTGGAACGGTTGAAGTTCTCCCAGAGGCTGCTCATACTTTCCTATTCTTTTTGGATTCTTTTTTCTTCTTGTTTTGTTTGTTTGGTTTTTGCTTCCTTTTGTTCCAAATCATTTATTTGATTCTCGGATTCATCCATGCTAGTGTTGTTTACCTGTAAAATGTTCTTTATTTTAATGTATCCTTTGTTTTTGACTGAATCTTTTTTATGCTGTTGCGGTCCTCCTTAAGTTTCTTGAGCAGCCTTGTAACCAGTGTTTTGGACTCTGCATCTGATAGATTGCTTTATCTACATATTGTTTAGTTGTTTTTCTGGAGTTTTGATCTGTTCCTTCATTTGGGCCATGTTTCTTTGTGTCCTCATCTTGGCAGCCTCCCTGGGTTTGTTTCTATGTATTAGGTAGAGCTGCTTTGACTCCGTGTCTTGGTAGTGTCACCTTAATGTAGTTGATGCCCTGTAGTGTCCAGTGGCACAGCCTCCCCTTTCACCCAAGCTGGGTACTCGAGGCGCACCCTTTCTATGGGCTGAGTACACACTCCTCTTGTCGTTGAGCCTTGGTTGCTGTTGGCCGATCAATGGGAGGGATTTACCCAGGCCAGTCAGCTGTGAGGATTGGCTGTGACCACTGACCACCAACCTCTGCCCTCCGTGGAGAACCAGCTGTGCAGGTGCAGAGTGGTGGCCCTCTGATGTGGTCTTTAGCTGTCTACTAGGTGCACTGGCCCTTGGGTTTCCTGGGTGGTGCAGGCCAAGAACAGCCCCCACCTGTGTTTTGCCTGGAGCCACCCTTCCTGAGTTATAAAGCAGTCTGAGATGGCTGCTCTTGTGCTTGGTTTGGAGATTCCCAAGCAATGCCAAGCTGTGAATCTAGGCTGGCTCTTGGTAGTGGCCAGCCTGGGGCTCCCTGAGGCCAGCTGCTGCTTGTTTGAGAGGATTTAGGTAGTTGTGCAGTATGAGCCAAGACCACCCATTCATATGGAAAAGCAGCTTGAGTGGACCCATAAGTTGTGTGGGTCAGAGTCTCTGGGGATCTCCAAGGCAGGTCAAACAGTGTTAACCAGGTTGATGGAGTCTCAGGTATGGCACCAGCTTGCCAGTTCTATTTGGGTGGATGCGGTTTCTTTAATTCTGTGGTTGTCAGTCAGAGTTCCATTCATCTCAATTTCTGATGGTTCTGAGTGATGGTGGTTCTACATTTTAGTTGTAATTTTTTTGATGTGGTTGTGCAAAGAGGTGAGCCATGTCTGCCTATGCTGCCATCTTGACCAGAAGTCTGAATGATCTTTGGTTGGTTCTTATATTTAGTTCTCTGATTAATTTTGAGTTGATATTTATATATGGTACAAAATAAGGGTGCAACTTCATTTTGTGCATGTGGATATCCATTTTTCCCAGCATCTTTTTGGTGAAAAGACTCTTGTTTCTCTACTTAATGGTCTGGGCATATTTGTCAAAAATCAACAAACCATAGATGTGAGTTTGTTTCTGAACTCTCAGTTCTATTCCATTAATTTGTATATCTGTTCTTATGCCAGTACCACACTGTTTTGTTGACTACAACTTTATAGTTGGTTTTTAAATTTAGAAGCATGAGTCTTCCAACTTTTTTTTTTCAAGATTACTCTGGCTGTTTGGGGCCCCTTGCAATTCCATAAAAATTTTAGGATTGGCTTTCCCATTTCTTCAAAAGGGCCGGCAAGATTTAGTCAGAGATTTCATTCTGTATATCACTCTGCATAGTATTTTGAAGACAACAGTACTTCCAATGCATGAATAAAAGATGTCTTTCCATTTATTTAAGTATTCTTTAATTTATTTCAGCAATGTTTTATAGTTTTCAGTGTATAAGTCATACATACTTGGTTATATTTATTTCTTACTATTTTATTTTTTTGATACTATTGTAAATGGAATTGTTTTTTAATTTCATTTTGTTTTTCATTGGTACTATACAAATTTTTTACATTGATCATGTATCCCACAACTTTGCTAAAATTGCTTTTTAGTTCTAATGTTTTTTGTGGATTCCTTTGGATTTTCTATGTTTAAGATCATGACATATGCACTAAAAAAACATTTTTAGACCTACTTATTACCTTTATATCAGTGTTTTTCAAATTGCAGGTCCCAGCCTATTAGTGGGTTGGGAAATCAATTGAAACATGTAAGTTTTGTTTTGTGAAATTTTTGTATATAATGCATATATATATATGTATGTGTTTAAGTCCTTATATAAAATATATTTCTTAACTGTGAATTACAGCAAAATATTTTATGCCATATTTTACAACATGTAATTGGAATGTAAATTTATGAGATTAATTAGATAGAAGTGAAAGTCCTAGCAGTTGCCTTTCATTACCTTGGAAATGATAATTCTATATTGAAAGCTGTTTTCTGGACACAAAAATAATGGAACAAAAAATATGCTCTTTGTTCATTGGTAGCCCTATGAATAATAAGCTTGTGAGATTTTTGCTTTTCATGATTCCTGGTAATTAGTTCTTAACCTGTTTTTGGTACTGTAGAGAAAGTTTCTTACTGAAACTCCAGATATTTTCTTGAGAATGTATTTTATTAAAAATAGTAACCTAATGCATACCCAGTACTTATTACAAATGAAAATAACAAAAAGCCATATTATGAAGGATATTATAATCTACAAACATATTTTACTCTCTAATAGATAGAAATTATCAAAATATAATAAAGTGTGTTTTCACAAATTGTATTAATGTTAAATTTACTGACTTGTAAATAATTAAGGGAGAACTCACAGCTTTTTAATGCAGGTGAGGTACTTTGAAATATAACTATTATACATGGATACACAATTATTATTTTATGGAAAGATGAAATTATTTCTGTACACTAGACTCTTGATAGGATACCTTTCCAATCTAACAAATTGAATGGTGTTTGATTTTTTAAAATTGTTGTTCATGATGTTAAATTTTATCTTTTACTCACAAGTAGTTTTGTGGAGATTATGGGCTATGTGTAGAAAAGGACATTAGGACTGTGTAAGTATCACCAGTGGAGTCATGTTTCCCTCTCTTCTCTTTCCCCTACTTCCCATCTACTGATAAGGATCTTCCCAGGTCTCCAAAAGTCTTCCTGGCAGTCTTTTTACTACATTACATAATCCAACATGTGTTGGAATGAGCTAGGCCTTCAAAATCCAATTCCCCTTCTCCCTCATGTCAACTTTGTGACTGTGGACAAGTCACTTGAGTTCTCTTAGCCTCTGTGGCATTTGCTATAAAATGGGGGATGATTTGGGGTTACATGGAAGACTGAATGCTATTGTGCTTTCTCTATGATGTATGAAATATAGTGCCTGGCATAATAAATACTCAGTAAATTGTAACTCTTAAAATACGTGAGTTATGATTTATACTCAATAAATGGTAATTCTCTTTCTATTCCCAACCAAAACATTTATATATGTCCTATCATTTTGAAATAGAAGCTAACTAATTCTAGTAAGCTCATCTCTGCCGTTGGATGTTTGTTAGTGGACCACTCACTGATATTCTTGTGATGCATTAAGCTTTGGCTAGTGGGAATTGCAGAATTGCCTTGCTGTCCGATATGAAAATATAAATTTACTAGATGTGTCTATTTTTAAGTTACCCCCCCCAAAAAAACAACCCAAATAATTAACAAGCATCATTATTTTCCTCTTCTTTAGTTATGTGCTGCTCATCTCTCAACTGAATCAGAGGCACCAAATCACTATCAGGCAGTATGTCGTGCACTGTTTGCAGAAACAATGGAGCTGCATACATTTCTAACTAAAATTAAAAGTGCAAAGGAGGTAAGTACCATTGCTTTCATATTTATTGGCATTGTGAAAGATAAACATGAATTTTTAACATTGTCCATTGTATTATTTACTTATTATCATCCTTCTCATGACTACTGCATTTCATTCAAGAAAGAAGCAAGTTAGGCAGAATTTATTTTTTTAAATGTGTGTGAATTCATTTCATAAAAACAAAGATATTTTTATAAAGCATCCTTACAAACAGGGAATAATTAATTCTGAATTGGTTTAATCCGCTTCCCCTTCTGACTTGATTTTTATCCTTTTTCTGCCACTCTTTTGTCCATTTTAAAACATGTTAGTATGCTTTCAGGAAGAGATAAGGACTCGGAAAGAAGACTACACCTTTGATAATTCTGTTCTTTTATAGTAGATTTGATTAAATTTTTAATGGAGGAGATGTGAATTATTCAGATTATCCAAAATCTTTCATTTATTTTATCAAATTATTATTTATTAGTGTCTGTGAGTTAAAAATACTATGTGTATAGTACAAAAAGAATCATTCTAATTTATTTACTAGGTGAATTGCCATATTATTTGTTATACAGATGTTCATCAAGATTCATGAGATCTATATAAAGCAGCACAGCATCTGACACATAGAAACAGCTTAGTACATGATAGTGGGTATTGTTTCATTTATGACTAAAGTAGAGAATTTATCTGAAACACTAGTTTAGAATTAAGGATTACACAATTCATGGAGGTATACATGTAGGTTATATAAGGGAGAAAGGAAAATATTAACCTATATTAGTGAAATAAGACTAATAGTAAGTGACAGATGTTTCAGTGAGATCACCCTTAATAAATCATGTTAAATAAATCCAGTTTATATATATGAATTAGAGCTCTAAGCATTCTTCTTCAGTTCTTGCCAAGCCACTACTTATAGTTTATCAACCAATGAAAAGCTATGTCTATTATATATATAAAATATATATTTTTTTATATTATATAAATATACATATTTATATACATTTTATATAATATAAAAATATATATATATATATATATATTTTTTTTAAGGATTTTGTAGAGTTGGACCCAAGAAGCAAGCCTTCAACAGGGTGGAAAGGGTGAACTATATGTTATTTGAAGAATAATGATAAATACATCATGGAGTAACTTTTCCTCCTGGACAGAACCAGAGGATGTAGAGTTCAGTTAAACTTCAGAGAAAACATCTGAAAGCACAACCTCAATTAAGGCTTAGTAAATAGTAGAAAAGATTACTTCTTAAGGTTGTAATTATCTTTCCCAGCTTATTAAAAGTGAAATTGCCTTATCCAGAAACACAAGCATTATTTTTAGTGTGGAAGTGCAATCTTTGCACTTACTAGAGTGAATTAAATAAATAACTTCTTTTTAAAGTCCATTTAACACAGATATCCTTAGGAACCATTTCTGAGCTTAAAATATGGTATTAATAAATATTTTTCTACTTCAGTGAGCTTTAAGAACAATTTTTTTTTTTGCTTTTGATTAAAGCTTTGCTTTGCCAAATATATCCTCAGAAAGAGATTTAAACATTATGAAAGTTTATTTAAATAAAAATCTCCCAAGTGGAGTAAAAGAACATGAGTGACTGGACCCACTGGTGGCTCTGTGGTGATACCCACAGAGACTGGCCAGGCCCTGCCTGAAGTTGGGGACCTTGAGGTCATGATTTCTGTCACATCTTACACTGTCCCCTTTTGGCACCACCCCAAATTTAAGTCTTTATAGGTAATAGTTCTGTCCTGTTTCCTCATCTCCTACTCTATTTCCCTACTTTTTGATCACTTCTTAACCTTTTCCATTCTCTACTTCATTTTAAAAAAGAACTCCCCAGTATGCTCAGGTTCTTCTCAAAACCCTTGTTCCCCCAATGGTAGTACTTTCTCTTACTTCCCTCTTGTGGGAAACCTCTTTCTCCTCCACATCTTCATATCTCTGGACTGAGGAGGATTAGTAATATACTCTCTCTCTCTTACTGTTTCCAAGTAACTACTCTTTATATCTGGCAAAAAGTTCATATCATCCACTTCTGTTACTCTTAAACCAATTGTCAGTGTCATCTGCCATCATCTTGAATGATTTCTTTGATAAAAAGAAACTATAGCTTTATTTCTTAACTTTCCCTCTACCTCAGTACTCTACCCAAACACACCTTTGTCCTAAAAATAACCTACAATCATCCCACCTTAGAAATCATGCATGGGCTCTTGTACCCTCTTCCTGTCATCCCTGCCCTGTGAGCTTTTTCCCTCATTGCCTCCTGACCTAGTCTTCCAGTCCTTTGCCTCCCCCATTTTATTCCAGTTTATCAGACCTTCCTGAATTCACTTCCTTTCCTCCATAGGTAGACTAGAATCAGCACTTTATCAGGAGTTCAGGCCCCCATGTCCAACCAGATTACTACACTACCCTTCTGCTGGTCTCCTCATCACTGTAAATCCTTTCCATCCAGTTCATCTTTTACATTGTCAATAAAAGGTTTTTGTAGATCACAGATCTAATCTGAGGAATGCAGCTCCAGGCCTAAACCTCCGTGTGATCTTTTAGGCTTGACCATGCACTGGCTTTTCTTAGCAGACCTCAGAGGGGAAGCTGCCCTCCCAATATGGGACTTGGTGCACAGCCAGTACTGCACTCTGGTATCCTGCAGGGGTTTCAGAGACTCAGAGTATCCCACTGGGCCAGCTGTGTTCATTTGTACAGCTATATTCTTAGCCTTGGTGCCTCCACTTGAAGACCCTTGGCTGAAACACTCTCCTCTCCTCTAACTCAGAACTTTCCATTCCTAGCTTTTCCTCTCTCCTTCCCACTGGCCCTCAGGTCTGTGAGATGGCAGAGCCTTTTTTCCAATACTCCTCAGCAGTAGAAAGACTTCCCCCACCTGCACTTAATGTCACCTGACCCTTGCTCAGTGCTGTTCCATAGGGACAAAATGGAACAAGGGGAACAAAACATCCTTTTTGGCCTCTTGTTTGCATTGTTCCAGTGAGTAAAGACTTTATTATTACATTCAGTTTGGCTCAACCTCCCTGACCACTAGACATCTGGCAGGTCTTCAGAGCCATGTTGCTCCCTGATTAATATGGCTCCTCATCATTTACATTTAAATTCCATTGTATTCCACACAGGCTCTTCATGGTATTTCTTCTGCTTGTGTTTTTATTCTTCTTTTCAACACTCTTTGCATTTTAAATTATCCAGTCAAAATTACTTATAATTTATGAATACATCATGTGATTATGTATCTGTGACTCTTGCACATTCTTTTCTTTCTGCCTGGAAATTCTTCCTCCCCTTGTCTGTTGGTGAATTCCTATTTATCCATTTAAACCCTGCCCACATTTTATCTCCATGTGAAATATTCATGACCTCTTCCAGCTCTAAGTTTTATGCCCTTCACAAACTGTATATCTTATACATCCTTCACTTTTGCACTTCTCATACTCCATAGTAGATATTTGCTCATGTATTTGTAATGTTTTCTCTGCAACTGCACCAGGTGCTTCTTGAGATAACTGACTGTGTTTTAAATATGTATATTTTATCAATTATGCTATTAAAGTTTTCCCATTTTTTTCTCCACATTATCCGTCTTCACCCTACACCTCCCTCCCAACAGCAACCCCCTGGCCCTTAGTTAATGTCCATGGGTCATACATATAAGTTCTTTGGCTTCTCCATTTCCTACACTATTCTTAACCTCCCCCAGCCTATTTTGTACCTACTATTTATGCTTCTTATTCCCTGTACCCTTTCCCCCATTTTCACTCCTCCCCATCCCCTCTGATCTCCACTTCTGTGATTCTGTTCCTCTTCTAGTTGTTTGCCTGGTTTGTTATTGTTTTTGCTTCCTTAGGTTCAGTTGTTGAAAGTTGTGAGTTTGTTGTCATTTTACTGTTCATAGTTTTTTATCTTTTTCTTAGATGAGTTCCTTTAACATTTTATATAATAAGTACTTGGTGATGATGAACTTCAAGTTTACTTTGTTTGTGAAGCACTTTATCTGCCTTTCCATTCTAAATGTTAGCTTTGCTGGATCCAGTAATCTTGGGTGTAGGTCCTTGCCTTTCATGACTTTGAATACTTCTTTCCAGCCTCGTCTTGCCTGCAAGATTTCTTCTGAGAAATCAGCTGATAGTCTTATGGGAACTCCTTTGTAGGTAACAGTCTCCTTTTCTCTTGCTGCTTTTAAGATTCTCTCCTTATTTTTAATCTCAGGTAATGTAATTATGATGTGCCTTGGTGTATGCTTCCTTGGGTCCAACTTCTTTGGGATTCTCGGGGCTTCCTGGATATCCTGAAAGTCTATTTCCTTGACCAGACTGGGGAAGTTTTCCTTCATTATTTTTTAAAAGAAGTTTTCAATTTCTTGCTCTTCCTCTTCTCCTTCTGGCACCCTATGATTCAGATGTTGGAATGTTTAAAGTTGTCCCAGAGGTTCTTAAGCCTCTCCTCATTTTTTTGAATTCTTGTTTTTTCATTCTGTTCTGGTTGAATGTTTATCTCTTCCTTCTGCTCCCAATCGTTGATTTGAGTCCAGCTTCCTTCCTTTTACTATTGGTTTCCTGTATATTTTTCTTTATTTCACTTTACATAGCCTTCACTTTTTCCTCCATTTTGTGACCATACTCAACCATTTGAGTGGGCATTCTGATTACCATTGTTTTTAACTGTGCATCTGATAGGTTGCTTAGTTCTATATTTGGAGCTTTGATCCATTCTTTCATTTGGGCCATGTTTCTTTGTCTTCATAAGCCTTTTACATTGGAAGGGTCAGAGCCTTAGTTAGGTATTGGTCTGGGTGAGGCAACTCAGGTTGCTACATTGTGACGCTGTATGTAAGGGAGAGGTCCAAGAGGGAACAATGCCACTTGCTCAGCTCTCAGCCGGCTTTCAGTCACTTCCCCTGCTACCCACAAGTGAATTGGTCTTTTCTGGTGCTGATTCCTCTGTGGGTGGGTTTGTGTACATTCTAGGACCCTGTGGGT